CCTGGTGGCCCATTAGAGCCCCGCGCCAGGCTTTGGATCACCTGGAGATTTCTTTCAAACAAAGTTTCAAGGGGAATTTAAAAAACAATGTGTCCTGAGTCAGTTTAAAATTGTAATGTGGGTACAGATGCAGCGCCTTTTGGGTTATTCTTAAAGAATTGAGGGGAGAGGACTGTCTTTCCTCCTAGCTCGGCCAGGCAGGCAGGAGAAAGCCACTGTACCTCTGTGAGCCTCAGCTCTTGTTGAGGCAGATGGAGGTGGGACCTGCACGATGGCGTTGTATGAACTCCACCGAATGGGTAAAAACTCAGCGATGTGCCCAGCGGAAGGAGTCCCTCGGGAGGGCAGGGCTGTGTGGGGTTACTGTTGTACACCATCCGGGTTATCCGAGCTGGGTATCGACCACATGTTGCTTCCTCAGAATTTTAATTTGGGAAGTTCAGTGGAGAAAATTCACAGCAAGGCAAGGGAAAGGCCTCCAGAAGAGGCGAGTGGGCGCCGGTGAAGTGCCGTTCACCTCTGTTGTGGCTCCCTGGCTTTTTATTTTTGGCCCAGTTATGAGGTTGATAGTGGGGCCTGCAGCTCTTGAGCGACTGTGCATGGGGCAGGGATGGGAGAAAGGTGGCGACAGCTTGTGTCTCTGCTAGGGGACTCGTAGATGGAAGAGGACCCCAGCAGGGAACTGGGACTGTTCTCAGAGTCACTGGTGAGGGTTCCTCCAAGCCTGCCACTCTCCCTCTGGGCTTCAGTTTCTTTGACCCACTGGAAGAGGAGCATGAGGACCTTCCCGTTCTCACCAGGCAGGGAGGAGTTAGGCACTGGAGATGCGGCTGGCAGAGCTTGGCCCCACAGGAAGACCTCCTGGAGCAGGAAGAGCACCCACAGCCTGGCGGTGTCTTGGGGCTCCTTGGCCTGCGGATAGGAGAATGTGGAAGTGAGTGCTGTGGTCGCATAAGGGGTGCCGGAGGCTGGAGAGAGTCCAGTGTCCTGGCTGGGCCAGTCCGTCCCCCTCCGTGGGCTCACTGCTCCTTCCTCTTTTCTATCCCAGCTCTCTGTGGACACTGAATTCTTCCACCTTGGCTCCAAAGTCAGCAAATTTAACACCAAAAACCAGACTTATTTTTTGCTATGGGAAACAGGGTGCAAGATATCAAGAAATGGCTGAGAGGCCTGTGGCGTGGGTCTGCAGCCATCCTCAGGGCTTTCTCCTGGGAGGGGGTGGGTGGCATCAGCTCCTGCATCCATGAGGGTGGAAGCTTGTTCCATCTCTAGCTTGTAGCAGAGAGAGGAGCCAGCTCTGGCACAGAGAGAGGAGGGGAGGAGGAGAGAGACCGCCACCACTTGGATTAGCCGTGTCCGAGCTGGCGTTGGCTAATGTGGCTGCCTAGTGCAGGCGGTGTGACCAGCTTGCCCTGTGTGATCAGAGGGTGTCACACTCCCTATGCTCCTCACTCTGGCTGGCAATTTGCGCTGTGGCCAGGAATCAGGGGGACAACAACACGCTTATCAGTTGCACCCACCGCCAAGCACGTCTGTGGTCATCATCACCTTTGTCACAGGGGTCACCAGCTTCTTCATGCCCATCACTGAGCTGTCATTCTTACTGCTGTCAACACCCCCATCCTTCTCGTCACCATCCTCATGACAACAGCGCTAGTGATGATGTGGTGGTGGTAGGGTGGTGCTGATAGCAGTGGAGCTGCGGAGTGCTCTGGTGGGGGTCATGGTGATGGTGGCAGTGGTCATCGCTGTCTTTTCCTCTTCCTCAACAAAATCTCAATCATCATTATTGTCACCACCACCATCACCACCACCACCACCATCCCCATCACCACCACCACCACCACCACCACCGCCACCATCACCGTC